AACACCACAACTTCAGCCTTCTGAAGGTCCATGTTACCCTTGTTAGATCCACTGAGTTGAAATATTTCATATGAAAAGAGTCTGCAACTTACATTCACTTTTAAACTGAATGAAAATATTTTCTTGTGTGCTCTACAAGAAACTGAAATTGTACTTTTTAATTTGGTTTCCATGACTCAGTTAAAAAAATTAATAGCAACTCTCAATCACCTTGATGCTGAATTTTATTTAAGTTTGTTGCCACTTAGTTTTAAAGGAGGATAGCTGCATCAAAATCAGCTTCTAAGGGCTCTGACAACACAGCCCAGAACTGCAGCAGTGCTAACTGGCTGTTCAGCACTCTGAATGGTGCTGTGTACTCTGCTGATGATTAAAAGCTGTCACTTCTTGTATTCCAACCGGTCAACTTTATAAAATCCAGAACCCAAAGCACCTTATGTAAGCTGATTTTCTGATACTACATTCATTCAAATTATTCCTGTTATTTAATACAACGTAAGTTACTGGAAGTGAATGTGAATACCAGGAAAATTACAGGGGCTTTGTTTTGCATATAACTCGGTTTTTTTAAAAAAAAGTATTATCTAGTGGCTGTTTGGGCATCTCAAAATTGTATCTCATTTCAGGCACCCAGGCAGTGAAGCTGCCTGTAGATGAATAGAAGTAACCATTGCATAAATTCATTCTGCCTGATGGAATCCCCATCTGAAGAACTGCACAAAAATAAGGTATTTCACCTTTTGCAGCAGTGAAACCTTAACCCACCACACGTATATGATGTATTAAGAGCTGCACTGTTCCCTCTAAGGTGAATTCTTTTTCGCTGCACACAAATGCTAAAGAAGAAATGATATGTCATGTTTTCCATATAAAGGCTCTTACAGAATTCAGTGATAAAGCTAGAGTCGGGAAGAGGTGGAGCAGGAGACCAGTCACACTCCTCTGATACTGGGACACTGAGAGAACTTATCAAAACACGATTGAGTTTATAGAGTTAACCCATGCAGAGCCCCATTCCTGAGCAGCTGCCAGGAGGGCACAGCCACCGGCAACCAAACCCCTGCAGAGGCTCCACTGCAAAGAAACAAACAGCACAAAAAGAGGAGGATTTATCCAGAGTGGCAAATGTGCCTGGCAGATAACATCTGTGTCTGAACATGGGATTCCTTCCACACGAATCTTTAGGGGCCCTAACGCTGGACTATCTCCTCTCCACAGAACTTTGACCCTGTAGCACTGGGTTATTAGAACCTTCCAGACCACTGTCACAGTGACTCTCTCCAACAGATCTAACGGGCTCTCAAAAACACCACTTGGCAGTTTTTATTATGGTTTCCAGAGTAGTTGATCTTTTTTGTCTTTCTTTATTGGAGTATATTATCTGTTCTCATAAGCTTTAAGCTGCTTAAATATTGAGGGGTGGAAGAGAAACTGAAGCAAATACAGTTACCCATTTCTGACGGGTAGACACATTGTTCTGAGCAATCTTCTATGAACTCTGAAAACAGAAGAAAGTTCTGTAGTTCTAACCTATTAGAGAGGATGCACATTTTAAAAAACAGTTGCCATAACCTAAAATCAAGTTTTCTTCTTTCTTTCCAACCAAAAGAACATCTGAACTCATTTGTTGATGCTTAGTGACCTGTGACAGCAATTTGCAGAGACTTACTTCTGACATGGCCTTACATGAACTCAGATTCCAAAGAGCTGGGTAGTCTAAATAGCAACAAAGTGTGCAGCTGACATTGCTAACAGCTATATTATGTTAATAGCTTTACCTTATATTATTTATATATTTAGCAACAACACCAAAACATCAAAACAGGGGAAAAAAAGTGCATCTATTTAGGTTCCCAAGAGGCCAGGGACAGTAAGCAGATTATCATGGCACAAGTGGGATCTGAAGGACCAGGCAGCTGCTATGCAGATGATTTACCACTAAGATGGTGCTCACAGAATGAAAGGATAAACAAGTGGCAGAGGTTGCCAACGTATGTGGAACAATAAAAAAGGTCACAGGAAGGAGCTGAGCACTTTAATAAAAAAGGTCACAGGAAGGAGCTAAGCCTTGAAGTGCTCTGATGACAAAATATAGTCAGAATTTCTAGAAAAGCAGAGTGAGCAACCTCAAAGGATGAGCAAAGGGCAAAGAACAGTTTCAGAAACACGGGTATCTCTGTACTCATCCCACATGCAACAGAAATACATCCTTATAGTTCCTGAGAATGCACTTTTTTCTGTTGACTCAATATGCCTAAGAAAAGCCTGGGATGTCCCACAGGAAAATAACAAGAGAAGTAGAAGTGAAAGAGTACTTGGAAACCCTGTCATAAGTCGGATGTGATACCGTGTGTCATATGAGCAAATGATGGTGGGAGGTGCAACTTTAACTGTAAGGGAGCCATCAGGGAGAGATAAGAGGAAAGCAAGAGCCAGGCAGATGTGAAATGCAAGACTTCTTTTAAGGACAAGGAAATGTACATGAGAATTTATGCCTGGACAGAAGGAACATTTAAGGCATAACGCTGACCCAAGGGGAGGCAATAAGCTATAAAGGTGGAAATGGGCACTCAAATTGTGCAGAATGAAGCAGGAGCAGGCAAGAGTTGGATTGTGTGAGTCAAAGGTTTCCTTGGGTTTTGTTTTTAATTATTGTTATGCAGCTACTAAAGCAAGTTATACTGCAAAGGGAGAGGGTTTTCTAAACCCTGAGCCTAGTGAAGGGTGGAATCAGTGGGACCATGCTCTTCCATTAGTTCACCTGCCAGGGTGGCCAACTCCTTGCTCCCTCTCTTCCAACTGACCTACTCTTGCTTTTTAATTTGTTCCTTTTTAAGCATCCAAGACAGACATATTCAGTGCTACTTTGTATCAGTTATTCTTACTATTTAGTTGTGCCTTCTTTCACCTTAGGTTGCACTGAACTAACCATGTTACAAATGGAGCCAATATCAATTACAAACTTACCACCCACCAAACTGGTCAATGGTTGCGCCACAAAGACATAAAATGATAGGGTTGGAAGGGGCCTGTTTTTCAGCCCAGCCCCCAGTATCAAGCAGGATTTTCTTCTCTACTCATGTTAAAAGCATTTTATCTGAGCTGTATCATTATATTATAAACAGCACCAACTCAGCAATTGCATGAGCAAAATATATTCTGAAACCTACTTGCCTGCACTGCTGCATTTTCTTGCCCCTCACATCTAACCTGAGCAATCTAGTTTTACTTTTCTGTATATCCAGCCAACATGTTTTCTGTTAATCCCTGTGGTATGTATATAAGCTAGTAAGCCTAAAGAAATGTCATGTTACCCAGGCTGAGACATAACAGCAGTGTGACACTTCATCCTCTCACACTTGAGAGTTCAGAGAATGTTCCCCTTGAGGTACAGCTAGTTACAGGTCTGTTTTCTTCCAGAAATATTGATAATCCATAAGTAATATTTAGCATGACACTTTCAAAAACTTTCAAACCCTCATGAGGAGCTGACAGTCTACTGAGTCATGGTTTATGTATATATGCATCACTTCTGGCCAAGATTTTTAGTTTTCTCAGTCTAGATCTGAAATAAATCTGTGCTGTCCAGCAAAGCTCTACATAGGGCCCAGCCTTCCCTTAGGCAGCACCTTTGGGTTTCAGTTTGTAGGAATAAAGAGATCCTGTGGGAACTCAGGAAAAGATGATGAAGGTATGAGTCTTAGGCCTGTTTAGAGACTTGCCTTGTTGGCACCAGCTTTATTAGCTATGTACAGTTTATAATGATATTACAGCTTGTGAAAACACATATTCAGAGGTCAGATAAACTAGGTAAGAGCTACCTAACATATAGATGATAACAAAGCAAGCAAGTAGATAAACCATTTATTGTATAAACAAAAAAATCTGCAGAGCAAAGAGACAGTGCTGCAGCTGGATAAAGGTTTGGGGTCTTTAAGTCAAATAAAATAATCTGAGTGTAGAATGGTCGTGCTTCAAACTGCGACCCAACCTGCTCTGCAACTTAGTGCTGCATTATGAATGAAAATGCCTGAAAAAACCTGACTGCAGCTATGGACTCTCTAATACAACTGAGCAGCACTTTGTTTCTTTCTCATTAATTAAAGTTCATTTCATGCACCTTTTCTAAAATAATCTTTGCCACAAAGCGCTCTCAACTTTTCCTGCTGTGTTGTAAGAAGTTTTTTCTTAAGTACCTTATGCAAATTTGTATCTAAATAAAACCACCTTCAGCTTTAATGGAGTGTAAAGAAATTGGCTTTCAGCCAAGTATCAGCACTCTAAAAGTTCTTCTACACAAATACCTTTCCTACTTTGCTGTTTCTCCAGTCAGCTTCTGATGATTAAAGTCCTTCTAAAGTTTTGAGGCAACCAACACTTGATGCCACAGTTTGTAATATGAAGTTATCCACAGCACATACACAGTTCTGTCTGTGGACAATGTATCAAACAGGACCTTAGGAAATTTATGCCATTTGGGATTTGCAGTGGTTTTACATACTGATAATGAACTTTTAATACAAACTAAGCAGCACAGACAGACCTTACCTAAAAAAATCCAACCCAAACTGCAGTCAGATAGAAGAACTCAAACTCAGTTACCATTTTTAGTGTTTTTCTGGTATTTATTCCATAAACACCTGCTTAATTTTACATGAAGGAGTTTTACATTGGTGTTTATTTGCTATGGAATAAAGCCTGCAAATTTGTAAAAATATGACAAATTATTTTGAGAAAGTAAGGCAACACTGTTTTGATTGGTGATATCAGTTAAAAACACACTTCAAAGGTACTAACTTTATTTCATTAGTCCAAGGAGTTTCCGTATAAACAACAGAACAACCACAGTACAAAACTCAGAACGGGATAAATTATCAACCTGCAGTTCAAAAACTCTTTCAAGAAATGATGCATTTTAAAGTTGTAGAAAATATATACACTCACATCCATTAACTGCGAGTGACATGCAAATAATCCTGAGAGCGATCAACTTTTTAAAAAAGGAAGCAGAACTGAACCCCATAACACCATCACAAAATGAGGGTCATGCTGTAATGCCTTTTCACAACACCAAAACAATCTCCAAATTCAAATTAAACACCCAGAAACTTTTCTTCCTACCTCGCGCTACAAGCTGGCTCATGTTTGCCAGCACCACAAGCACCTGTGCACTTTGTAGTACGGGAATTTTTAAATACTGATTGTTCAGGATATATTGCCTATAAAACTGAAACCTCAAAGCTACACATTCTCATCCCGGGTTAAAAATAAACCCCACGCTCTTGAACCAGGGGCTGTTGATTGCAGTCGCAGGGAATGGCACAGCCTCTCCAGCGTCCCCAGAGACCCCCAGCGCCGATGACAATACCACAAACCTGCGCGCTCCGGCAGCCCCGTGTATTTTAAGTGCTAAATCTGAAACCCAGAGACTACAAAAGCGAGCTGGATCCAACACAGCTCCGAGTGGAGCCTCTCACTTCTTGAAACTGGCTGTAAACAGGGAAAGGGAGGGGCCAGGCGGCTGCCAAGCCAAGCAGAAACTTGTGAGTAACTTATAGAGCAAAAACAAGTGCAGCGCAGGCAGCAGCGCCCAGGCGGGCGCTGGCACGGCCAGCACCATGTTCCCAAGGAGAACCACGCCGGGGCCTTGCGGCCGGCTTCCTTCCTCGGGAATGCGGCTCGGAGGAATGCCAATGTGAAGGGAAGGTAAGAGGCTCCGGAGCGCGGCGGCCGCGCCGTGGGAACGGCGGGCGCGGAGCGGCGGCGGGCACGGAGCGCTTCCCGCTCCCTGCCCACGGCCGGCTTTCGTTTTCAGCCTGATCCCGGGTCCAAAAGCAGGGAGAACCTGGGAAGTGCCGCGGCCGGCCGAGTCAGGGCACTGTAAACAAGAGGCTGCAGCGTTCACTTATGCAACAGAGTCAACCTGGGAGTGCAGAGCTCCTTGTGACCGGAGAGGGAAGGGGGTCAGCTTAGACTGAGCGAGTCAAGCCGCGTTCAGGGATCGCAAGGACTTACCCAGACACGGTAAAACTGTGAGGGCAAAACTGCCTTTAGAAATGACAAAAGAGACGGCTGGGTGAGAAATGCTGAGCTGGGCCTGCACAGCACAGCAAACAGGTTCAGTGCCTTCGCCGGTAAGTGACCATTAAACATGGGTGATTTCGGCATTAGTGGCAAAAATACCCCACCTGGTAATTTAGAAGTCATCAACAAAATTTCTTACGAAAATATTTTTATTTTGGATTTTATTTTTGCTCATTTCAGATGTAAATATTGTCATTTTCGTCAGATTACTATTTAACACAGAGAATCACCTGCCATTTCTATCACTATTTCATTTAAACAGAATTGTGTTAAACTATGTAAAGAAAAAAGGGGTAATTACTAAAAACACTTGTGAAACCAGACATCCCCTTGCTCTGTAAAATACAAAGTGTGGTAGCAAAGACTGTTGATCTTCTGAGACAATATACAGGCAAGTTACTCTGTGGCTGATGTAATTCAGTCTGGAGTAATCAAAGCTACATGCTTAAGGATAAACCTACATAATGGAATTACGTGATTGTATCCATGCCTGTGCTTAGTCACCCTTGCACTCACCATAATGCATATATTTGCAATATCTGGTTCCAGTCTGTTGCTTTGCTTGACTCAAGTCATAACAGTTCAATGTAGTTTTGTTTCCCTTCAACTGCACAAAAAACAGCTTTGCTTTTTCTTTCTTAAAAACTTAAAACAACAGATGCTTCCTGAAAACAAACGGGGTTGTTTTCAGTGCTCAAAAATAGCATGAGGATGGAAAGACAACATAAAGATATGATACAGTCCATTCATATGCAGTACTATAGCTAAAAAACTGAACTGAGAAAGTGAACGAAAAAAGTAAGTTTTCCCACAAAGGTGAAAACAGGCGTTGAAAATAACAGAACTGCAGCTGGTACTGCTGCCACAGAAGTCACTTCTCTGAGGAAAGCCAGCATAGGACAATGGAATAAAAATTTGCTTGCCCAGCTAAAATGACTGTACTTTTAGCCTGATTTCTGGCATAGGTTATGATATTTAGAAGAAAAATGTACACAAAACAACTGCAATGGGAAATAAATCATGAAAGTTGATGTGATTTTGGGGCAAATTCTGTACTGTGACTGAAGTGTCAAAGAATTAGCACTAGAGAGATGCACCATGCATTCATATGCTTACAAACCCCACACTGTGTAATTCAGCCATATGGTTCACAGAGTATAGCATGTTGTCTAGTAACATTCATTTTCATTGCACAATGTTTATTGAGGATTTGATTAAATCTTGCTCTCTCTCTCTGGAAAGAATGCAGGTATGTGTGCTTACACTTTTCTGTACGTGCTGAAAGGGAAGTGTGCAAAAAACCACAGGAGTGTGTGACAGTGTCAGAGTACACGGGAAATCACCTGCTGCATAAACTCCACACTGGCCCAGAAATGAGCTGGCAGGAATCATAACCATGATTTTAAGCGCAGGTTTTGAGTTGTACTTCAGAGGTTATTTCTTATTTCTGCATTTTGGAAAGAGACTTTTCACAATTGCTTTGAAGTTCAGTTATTTCAGTTAAAACGTTATCTCTTTACTGACCATAAAGCAAAGATAGCTGGATAACAACTGATAGTAGCATACTTTAAAGAATTCATGCTATTTTGAGAGGAAATGATAGCTAACTCTTGCCTTTTTGGAAAGTCAGGCTGCCCTGATATTAGGTTCCCCGGACTACAGAGGTCCATTGTTTTTTTTTTTCAGAACTAAATGGTTATAGGTTGGAAGTCTGAATACAAACTGGCCTATTAAAAAAACCTAAATCTTTCATCTCACTTCCCAGTTTCCTCTAGTCAGTTTTATCAGTGATCCAGTACACAGCCACCATACTGCCTTGGATGTGCCTCCCAAGAAACTATCTTTTCAATGGAAAGTTTATTTAACACCTTAGAGAACTCTATTCTCCATCTTATTACAAAGATTTGTGCTTCAGCTTACATCCTTCCATTCTTCAGCAGTTACCCTTATATATTACTAGCCATATACAAGGTACTGTTTGATAATTTAAAAATACCATTGTCCTAATATTCATATATACTGCATCAGTACTTAAAGATAGACAGTTTGCAATTTACTTCTGTTGAGTGTCCTGTATCAACTCATTTGCAACCAATTTCATTTCAGTTAGAACTTTAGGACATTTACTAGTCTCACAAAATTTTGAATCACAGATGACTTTCTTCTAGACTAACAAGGTCATCTATGTGATCCATGTAATCTTCAAGTTTAAAATGTTTTCTTCACACTACACTGCATTTCGCTTACAATATAATGTTTCAACAATACCTTTACTGTTTTTCTCTCTACAGAAAAGCTGGTAACCAGCGAAGAAGACACAAAAGCTAAAATCACTATGTGGAGCTGTGAAGCCTTAATCAACAGTACCGAGAACAGTGAGGACCAGCATCTCTGCCATGACTTCGACCTTGTACTGTCCATCTTTTCCCTACTCTACCTCATTATATGTTTCCCAATCGGCCTTTGTTACAATGGCTTGCTGGTCCTAGTTAACCTCTACAACAAAGCTACCATGACTATGCCAGATGTTTACTTTGTCAACATTGCCATTGCTGGTCTCATCATCAACGCTCTGGCACCAATGTACCTTCTAGGTGTTGCCAATACAAAATGGGCCATCTGGAATTCCAACAATGAAGTTTATATTACCTTCCTTATTTTATTCAACGTCTCGTCCTTAGTTACAATGTACTCTACGACACTGCTCAGTCTGGACTACTACATCGAACGCGCTCTACCCAGAACTTACATGTCGAGTGTGTACAACACCAAACATGTCTGTGGGTTCATCTGGGGTGGTGCCATGCTGACGAGTTTTTCATCTCTCCTGTTCTACGTCTGCAATCACGTGTCCACCAAAATAATTGAGTGTTCCAAGATGCAGAACCAAGAGGCAGCGGATGCCATCATGGTGTTCATCGGGTACGTCGTACCGGCCATCGCGGTACTCTACGCGCTCACGTTAATCCTGCGGATACGCAAAGAGGCCACGCCACTGGATCAAGACACTGGGCGGTTGGATCCGTCAGTGCACAGGCTTTTGATTGCCACAGTCTGCACACAGTTCACGCTGTGGACACCCTATTATGTTATTCTCTTGGTAAGCACATTTACTAACCTGCAAGGAAGAATTGCGGATATAAATCACATTCGAATATTGCATTTTACCACGATATTATCAAAATTCTTGGCTTTCTCAAGCAGCTTTGTAATGCCTCTGCTCTACAGATATATTAACAAAAACTTTCCCAACAAATTGCGACGTTTGCTTAAAAAGATACACTGTGGGAATCAAGGGTGTTCTCACGAGCGCACAGTAGTACAGCAAGTCATGACATAGGTGTGACAAACCCCCTTGGTGCTCTGTTACTGCAGTACTTGGTGTTCTTGGGACTGTGATACTGCTGTGTTGGCACTCAGAGACATGAAAGAGTCCCAACCAAGAGGCTGGAAGGAGCTTCCATTGCAGCTGAATGCAACAGTCTTAATTTTCAAACAGTTGTTTGCTGAAGTCGCGTGAGGCTCTGGCCAGTGTGCTGCAATACCTGTGACATCCGATACCTTCAGTGCACTGAACTGGTTACAAACTCTGTCTTCATGTCTCTAATCTTCCTGTCTGAAGAAATCACTAAGCAGTTTATTGAAGTCTTGACTGAAGACACAGCACCTTGTATCTTGTATAGAAAAAGGTATTACCTTATTTTCTGTACAAAGAAGTGATAGTGCTATCCTTGATGAAGTAAATAGCATTTTTCAATGAAGATTATATAGATGATCTTTACTAAAGATCATATGATCCAATTATACATGCCCAAATAGTAAATGTTAATTATAAATTAAATTATTTAATTTCTTTCTCCATCACTGAATCCCTCTAAAAGAAGCCTAATTTACCATTTTCAGGAATTATTTTCTCACACCAACTAACCTGTTTTAAAGTTTATAGTAAAGTGATTTTTTTTCCTAGCTATAACAATTAACAAAAATGTGTTTTAATTTTCCAGTCCTTTGTTTGCATCCTAAAACATTTCAAGAATCCAGAAATATTTATTGTCTAATTCTAAGGGAACCTAAAGATGTTTGTTCCACATATGAAAATGAAGGACACAGTGGTTTACAAAGTTAAATCAGAATTTAACTAGTAAAGATTGTCTGGCTAAGTGTTATGGTCCACATATGTTCATGTAATGAGAGTAATTATCTTAAAAAATAAATATGTTTATGATTAACATTTTGTATTTTCAAGGGATATGTTTGCAACAAATAAATTAAACTCTCTTTAATCTAGGGCATCACTAAAGGTTTGGAAACCATATAAAATTCCTCAATATATACAAGGTTTTAAAATGGGAGTAATATCTAGGAATCCCAGTCAGCATCAGCCTTTGCTGACCTCTCAGAAATGGAAGTGCCTCCCAGTGGGATTCTTGGATACACAGTAAAGTCTAGTTTCTGTATTTCACAATTGGGATGAAGAAATCCAGCCCAGATCACCAAATTTTACTGGTTTGATGAAATACATAAGAACCACAAACATGCTGCAGGAAGCACATAAATAATTACCCACAACAACAAACTACAAAGCACTGACCCAAGAACTGCTTGTTCCCGTGCTGCTGTTGCATTATTAATGACGGAGGGGGTACAAGTGGAACTGAGATTCTCCCACTGGTTTGGGGGCCATGAGACATTTTTGTTACTCTCCCTGCAACACCACAGCATTGTTTTGTTGCTTAATCTGTCACAACACAGTTCAAATTCCACGTGACTTTATGCAAAAAATGTGGCTTTTCAAGCTTCAGGTATAATAAAAACATGAAGCAAAACCAGATCTGAATCTTTTCCATTGCTTAGAGCACAATCTCATCTGATAGCTGGTCCTATCTGTCAGCAGAGGCACATCCTTAAGTGCTAAGGGGAAAGCAGGTGAGGAACAGACTTTTCATACCTTTTCCCTTCAACATTACTCAATTTCTTCTCATAGTCATCTTTGCTTATCTTCTTCATATACAAGCATCTTTAAGTTGTCAGCATTTTGGTGGAAGACTCTCCATTAGCCTTTTTTTTAACAACTTTTCATAGTTTATTGAAATCTTTTTACCCCTTAAAGACTACACAGTAAATAATCTTACTTCTGTGGTGTTTTCTCCACACAAAAACTATCCAGCATAACTACATCGGTTTACTTCATAGTTTTAGCCCACTGATAAAAACCATGTTAAGGAATGAAGCTGTTCTTTATCATTCTGTCCAGCTCACACACTCATTTATAGTGCCTCTATGCTGATACAATTACTGGATGTTTTGGCTGATTTTTTTCCCTCTTGTGAGGTTTTCTATGAATTTCTGTACATCTTGGTCATTCAAACTCACTTCCACACAGAAATGCTTAAGAAAAAAAAAATCTTTCCTTATAGCTGTCAAGCAAAGAGATTCCTCCTTCCCATCTGATGAAAATTAGGTTTCCTAATGCACCACATTAAATCACTCACGTAAAATCTGTTAAAGAAATTCTGTCCCATTATGCAGGAGGAGTTCCAGCAGGGAGGAACTGCCTTATCTGGTGTGAATAGGGGCTTTCAGAACTGGGACACTGCCAGAACAGTGTGGCTGAACAGGCAGCATGAAGTGTAATTTTAACTTCCACGTTGCTTCCCTACTTCCATTTCCTCCTTCTCTTAAGACATCTTACTTTCTGTCTCCAACAGGACTGTTGCCTTTATTTCTGTTCCTTTCTCTCTGTGTTAAATTCCCAGTTTCAGATCATGGCTCTTCTATCGTTTATCTTTTTCACTTCTCTGCCCCATTTATTTAACTTCCATTTCTCTCCTGTTCCCATCCATGCTTGGACTTGTATAGCTGGTACCGTTCTACACTCATGTTTACTTCATTTGTGTGACTCCTTTATGATGACCCAAATATTATTCAATTATTTGAATGGAAGCTGCTGTATAAGAGATGGAGAAAGACAGGGTTTTATGTAATTTACGCTTGAAATATCAAATCTGATTTTTTCCTATTTTTTTTTATTGCAACAGAGCTACATATGTTTGCATTTATCCTTGATAAATACTAAATGTGATGGCAATCATAGATACAAACAACTTTGATAATTTAATGAACAAGACTGGTATCCACTCAACCTCTTTTAAGAGATAATTTGATCTATTAGTTGCCTCAAAGCAACTGTGCCATGGACCTGCCTGGCTGCTGTTCTCTTAAGAAAATTCTGGACTTACTGCAGTACCCTCACATGGTATCTCTTAAAAAGCAGTATCCCAGAAAGGGAGAGCTTTGCAATATTTATACAAAGAACAGTAGAGGAGCAAGTGCAGTAAAATACTTAAGGAAATACATGTTATCTTAATCTAGGGAGAAATTTAATGGACAAATTACAAAGCTCTCGAGAATGGGGCCTTTCCATTTCAAATACCTGAAGGTTTCTGATGACTGTAAATAGGGGCTTATCTATTTCACATTTAAATAAATATGAATAAAATACTGTATATATGCAAGATAGAAATCAGCCTACTGATGTAAAAAGAATTTGCAAAGAGTTTATTAAATTATTTCTTAAAGTGTATAATTTAAATGTAAACCTCTGAACAGGAAGGTGTACTGTATGCTTCTATATGTATATACTGTGTACTAGAAAGTAAGCACTAGTTAAGTGCCATTATTAACAGTGTTATTTTCTCACAGAATTAAACTTAATATTTGAGTTGATCTATGGCTTATAGCCCTCTTGCTGAACCGCTAATTGAGTCAAATCAATGAACTAACAAAAATGTCGTGCTCTGCTTCTGTTTGAGTTATTAACACAGCTAACTCAAGACAGGTCCTTGTTGACTAACTTAGTAGAGGTCCTAGTTTCAAAAGTTTCAGAATCAAATTGGGTTGGTCTCTGAAGATGTAAATTCAGTTAATGGAAGAAAGTGATCAGCCACTAAAAAATTTCTGGTTCTATTACAATGAAGAGCTGCGGCCTCCAATATCATGTCAAAATACTACAGAAATGGACTTTCTGGAAAGCTTCATAAAGGAACTATTGACTCATAATACATTCTCAATAAAAAGTATCTGGTCAGTGAGATGTGTGAACTTTTTTTGGCTTTCTGGATAAAAACCTATTGCAGACAAGGTTAAACCTGTGTTGCTTCACTAAATCAAACATAACAAATTTCATGACTTGGATATCAGATTTCCAGGCCATAATTTTGACATCATTAAAATCTCATTATTCATCAGCATGAAGTTGGCTGAGAATGAAAGCAAAAAGGCACATAACTCTCCCAGATTTTTTCAGCGTAAAGAATCCTGCAACTTGTAAGACAGTAACAGTGCACCACAAAAATACAAGGATGGAGATTAATGTATGCATTGCCCACATCCTGACAACTTCCTCTCCTTTGTGCTGCCACAGTCAGCTCCCTGCAGAACACCTTTTGGTTCCCAGAACAACATAACACAATAACCCACACCTCTGTCATGCCAAAGAAAATGTAGCTTTCAGAATATAATGTACCTCATAGCACATTTATTGCAGTAACCACTGCATAAAACCAAAAGATAACTGACCATGGCTCAGTTAGTTTACCCCACATATATGAAAGTGTTTTCCTGGTTATACTTACCAAATTATTCATTTGTTCCCTTTCAATTTCCTGTAAAGTGTAGGAAGACAGCAAATAATAGCAAACTCTGTTTAAAATAGTTATTGGTAAATTCCTTTAGAAAAAAAAAAGTCAGTCCAAGGCACTTCTGAGTTTTAAGTCTCAGTGAGAAATAAATGAAAATTGCAACTGTCAGAGTGGGAGCTGCAATACTACACCAGTTAGTGAAAGCCTAGTGTCTGACAAGATTCCCTTATTTCCATACAATGGTTTAGAGGATTTTTCTGTTACTCAAATAGGAGAGCATCTCTGAACAAACACAGAGCAGTGATTTCCTGATCCTTCATTCCATAGAGCTTTAAGATACAATCAACGTACACAAAAAGGCTGTTTCTCAGTTGGATTAGTAAAACCCCTTGTATATAACACAGGCTTGAAGGATCTTCAATGAGAACCGAGTTAGTCATATGCAAGTTCACAAGCCCACAGCTTTGTGAAGGGAGAACTTCTACATAAATGCAAGGAAAAAGAGTTGATCAGGTTCAGCAAAGTCAAGATGTTTACACCAGTACAAACCAGGCTGACATGGCATCTGAATCTGCCCTTTTCTGTCAATACAACAAGATTACAACTACATTTTGGAGCATACTCAGAAATACTAAGCATAATCAGAAAATACTCATTCAACTATTATAACAGGAAAACAGGCCCCAAGGTTGTGAGGAAAACATGACACCGCTCCCAGAAACCTCAAAGGGAGGTAACACTCTTTTTTTTTTTTTCTTTTTTTAAACTGAGATTCAATTAAATTGTTTTTGTGCTGTTGGTACGTGCATAGATAATACCCCACTTATCATTGCTAAATAAAAATGAAAGCAGCACAGTGTCCAGGCTGGAGACCTTCTCGTGAGCTTCACTGCAGCAGCACAGGACTGGTAAGACCAAAGAAAAGCAGAAGTTGCCCAAGTGCTGCTCTCAGTTCCGCTGTGGGCCAAGGACTCAGAGAAGAATTGATTCTTGCCTAAGTTTCTGCAGCTGTAAAGAGCTCAATGCACTGATGAATCCGAAACAGATGCTCATGGATTAAATTAAGTTTCTTAATAAGCAAAACCTTGTGTATTTCTAAAATATCTCATGCAATACTTTTTCCAAGTGAAAGCACTCTAGTGGTACAAGCCCAGCTGTGCAGACTGTCACGGCAACAAGGCTGAAGTGTGAAATGTTTGCTCTGTTGTATTTCCTTTAGCTTTCCATTCTATATCAAAACACTTTGACATATGCTGAATACCTTCTTTTTCCATCAGGAGAGCAGAGATGTATTCTCTCCTATTTCATCCTCCTCTCTTCCCACCAAGTCCTTCCCTTAACTTGGAAGTCCATATGATTTCCTTATATTCCTTCCTTCTAAAGAACTGGCACTTCTAATTCCATGTACAAGAACAGTCAAAGTTATTCACAGTCTAAAGCAGGCAGAACACAAGAGTAAAATATTTTAAAACATCAGATTCTTATCAGAATTAAGTATATAAGTGGAGTATGAAATTAGGTGAATTTATTAGGTATAAAAATATATTTTAAAAAACTTTTTCTATCAAAAGTTCTTCAAGGTAAGACAACCAGAAGGTGAATCTATTTTATCTAATTGTACTTGCACACTTTGTTCCTTCTTCTTAAATATATTATCCCAGAGGTGCTGCCACTGGCACTGATGGGCTCAGCCTTGTCCAGTGGCGGGTCAAGGATCCTTGTGGGTCCTTTCCAACTCAGAATATTCTGAGTGATCTGATCTATGGGTCCATCTTGGTGCCAGCTGGCACTGGATCTATCAGACACAGGAGAAGCTTCTGGCAGCTTCTCACAGAAGCCTCCTCTGTAGCCTCTCCCCACCTCCACTACCAAAACCTCGCCAAACCCAATGTAATTACTAATTACAAAGTGAATTGAAAAGCCTAGTTTTAGCAAAAAAAAATTTGCAAATTTAAGCTTCTGCAACTCTTTCTTATCTCCAAAACATTTAAAAGATCATTTTGAAATAAATGCTAGTATTGGGTTATCAAAGCTGTTTCAGAAACTCCATCTGGTGGCCGCTAGCAGAATGTTCTTGAAGTTCCCGAAAGATCTGTAAAATTAGTTAAAAGATTTAAATTAATTGTTAAGGGGGGAAAAAATCAGTCCCAGTTTCTGGTTAAACACAGATTTATACTAACTGGTCCTGTCTGCAGGCAGTGAGGGTGTTGCTGCAAGTATTTGTAAGAAGAAACAAAATTAACCTCAACTTCCACAACCAACTGCTGCTGTGAGAGTGAGGCATGTAAGAGACAATTCTGTTGCAGGAAACAAACCTCAGCAATGGTTAATTTTAGTTTTGAACCTAACAGAGGGATATTTAACCATGCTATAAGGTCTGATTATTCACAAGGAAGAAATATTTCTAAAAAAGCACATGTTTCTTGTATTGTTTTATGAAACATCTGGTACTGGTCATTGTGGTTGACAAGATGCTCCAATCCAAGACCATAGGAAGTGCCATTCCCATTCAGCTCCAGAGTATTGCAATCCTTCTAATTAAGTTATGGTTTCACTAGTTCCCAGTGAAATAGATTTCATACTTAATTAATACAGACATTTGAAATTTTTCAGGTCAGCCTATGTGCAATTAAATAATCATTCTAGCACCTGCAGTGCTATGCAGAGACCAGCTCTCTTATAAAATTTGCAATTAAAAAAAGCTTTTTTCCACCCTTTAACAGAAGTAGAGTATTATTAGCAAATACAGGCAATTTTTGAGCCCTTGTAGCTGAGTTACACAGATGATTTACCCCTACTGAGGAATTTATTTTGTGATTGATAGAAACATTACTGCAGAGTAATAATAATAAAACGCTGTTTATAAAACAACTTGCATTACAAACAGTGCTCAAATAAGCCAATATAAAATTGCTAATAGTGAATCATGGGCAAGCAACCCTGAGATGTGAAGGCAGCAGTCACAGAGCACCAAGCATGGCTGTTCTAAGATAAAAGGAAGAAATGTTGATTTACAGCAGCCTCTGAGGCACAGGGAATTATTAATACCAGTTCTTATGGATACACATCACCAACTTGGGCTTTTCTAACCCCTTCCTAGCAGAGAGAGAAAGACTATCAAATTTTACAATTTCATATAGCTCCAGGTACCTTATAAATCAGCAGAAGCATCTGAATTCCATTTTAAAAACCACACTCAAAAAACCCTCCCAAAACCAAACATGCAGAGAATATAATACAATAAAGGTATGCAAGGGAGTTTTATTCTAGAATTCATCCATACACAAAGTTCCTTTAACTTTCTTCTAGCTAGTAATTCTTAGTTCTATGTACAACTTCCCTCATGTTTTGGGGCTTGGTGGTTTGGGGTTTTGTTGGTTTGGTTTTGTCTGGGGGTGTCCTTTTTAATGTCAAAGGCCTGATGTTCCACAGTGTTTTAATCAAGGTCACAAATTTCATTTCATTTCATTTCATTTCATTTCATTTCATTTCATTTCACTTCATTATTCATTATTCATTTAACTTCATTTCCATTAAAATTCATTTACATTCCAGGTGTGTTCCAGGTGTGTTCCAGGTGTGTTCCAGCCATGTTTCAGGTCCTAGTGTGTTTGAACAAGCCTAGAAACATGTTCCACATGGTTTCCAAATGTGTTTCAGGTTTGTTCAAGGTGTCTGGAACACACCTGTAAAATGGGTGTTTTCTGATGTGTGATTCTCTGAATCTGTGTCTGCATTCTGGAATTGTATTGTGCTGCTTGTTCCAGATTCCAAGCAGGAAACATGTTCTTGCCCCCTACACACCGCTGAATAACGAGGCTTAATACAGGTTGCAGCCAAAGTATGAACTAATGTTTGTAAATGTGAACAGAATTATGAAGATGGGAGCTTCCTCTTTGATTACTTTTTCTTTTTAAAGACAGGAGGCATAAGAAATAGCTTCTCCCTTTTTGCTTTTCCGGTTCTATTTATATAATTTAATCATTAGAGGATAAGCTCCCTTGGAGTTCAGCTGTATCACCTCTTGCATTGTCAGAACGGAGGTTACTCAATAACAGGAAACGTGGTCTTACCACTGCTGTGACAGGGCTTATCTGCACCGGGGTTACTCCCTGCTCATCCACTGCTAATTAACTCAGAGTCACTCAAACCTTTGTGAATATTCCTTAAACGTTTGTTGCAGTCATTGATTTGCCTTTATTTTACTCATAATCACAAAGGGCACAGCCAGATATCGCTGTGTACACCCACCCAATGCAACTTCTAAAATGTACAAACCCCAGTGGTTTGCTGGTGACCCTCAGCCAAGAAATAATTTTAGTCCCCCCCTGCCCTCAGCACAGCCCGGGGTTATCAATCAAAGCACTTCAATGGGAAGTACAGCAACAAACAGATGCTTCAACTGTTCAGCATTGCCTCAAGTGCACACCTGATCCATTCTGGAAGCTGAAAGGACAAGGTGATGAGCAAAAACTTCCAGAAATTTTTCTGTAATTTCCAAAACAATCCTTTGACTATGCTCACACAGTTTGGTGTGCTCTCTGCACAGCCCTCAGTCCTAGTGAGAATAAGGTGACAGGCTGCATGCACTAAAAAAATCACGAGCCAACCCTTTCTTGCCTATTTTTATCTGAGGTTTTAAGAACACTATTCAACAGTCACTAAGACAACTGATGCCGAGCCAGACCCAAAACATCCTCCAGGCTCAAAATCCTGTCTTTTAACACCTCATGGTCATTGCAGAGCATCTGGAAAAATAATTTATAGCACATATACAATACTGGGAATGTTCCAACCCATGGAAAAGTAGAAAGACACCTATTTTTAAGAAAGGGTCTTAATATTTTTTACATGCCCTGCTTTGTATCAAGTTTTTGTCATGTTAAGCAAAGGGCCTTGCATGGTATTTATTCAACAGGCTTTTCCTTTTCTAGACCTCAAGCACTTCAACCAGCGCACTGGAAAAAAATGCAGTTGCGAAGGCTGGTCAGTGCGTGTGGGATCACTTCAGGAACAGGAAAATAAAATCCACTGGATGGCCTCACACACTTAGAAATGGCAGGGACAAACACTACTTTTCTGTTCTAAAATATCTCAGTGCAGAGGATAATTTGAACTTTAAAGTCACATGATGAAACCATAGGTTTGCTAAACATGCAACGTGTATGGTTTGAATGACTTCAACAAGTTCCTGTTTCCTTTTTACAGAACTGAATGTTTTTTTAGTCAGCAAGCGCCTGGATTTTTCATCGTGATGTACAGCAGCTAAAGAAGTTATTCTAATCTATACACTCTGCTTTCTACAGAAATAAAAACGGTTATAAGCTCCAAACAACAATTATATTTCATCTGGCATTTTACAGTGAAAGTCTCAGCCTGTTGTATCTGTGGAGCATTCTCTTGAAAAGGTAAGTGCTTTATATTACTTTGAATATGCAATGCTTTATTCATCACAAGAGGCTCAAATTGTGAAGCTGAGGTTATAATTTAAAGCTTTTAGTTTTCCCTTCTTTAACAACATTTGAACTAGACAAACTAACCTACTGTATCTGGGAAACATCTTCAGAAGGCTGATATGTTTAATAAAGCTGAAATTTATAATAAAGCCGGGCATTAAATAGAGAAAATGTGAAGACTGTCTTCCAGTAAGTACTTAACTCCTGTTGAACCGATGGGAGCTGGATGATGAAATACTGCCCAGTGGTCTGGAGAAAAAAGACTCCAACTGTTGCCTAAATCCAGTCTTTTAAAGGATGGGCATTGCTCGATACCACACTACAGGAATTGTATAGAACAGGAAACACGTGAGCAATGCTTCTTGGAAACTATGTTACTGTTGATTAGCTTATGTTCTAGAAAAGTAAAACTAAAAGCTCTTGGTTTCTCAGGAACTGGTAATTTTTTGCAAGCTAGGGGTAGGATTTCTTAAACCTTTACAAGTTCAGATACTCGCCCAAGTGCAGGAATTGTGACTTTACAAGACAGATGAATACAGTATTTCACATTTCAGTCTCTTATGCAAGATGCCCCCCCTCTTTTAACTTTGCAGATGCAGTGCAAACCTAAAGGACAAATTCACCCCCCAAATTACGTGCAGTGTTTTCACAAGTCAATGGAGGACATGCCCACCAAGAGCAGAGTTTCATAAGGAGCATTATGTGTATTGCTTTATGACTGGATGAAAGAATATTTTCCTTCTAAAGGCTGGTGACAGAATGCAAAAGGACTGCCCAGCCAAACGTTTTAGAGAGGAAGAGTTCTGGCTGCCAGGGAGAAACTCCCTGCTTTAGGAGCTCTTCTTTCTACACTTTAAATAAACACAAGTTTCTTTGAAACCAAGCTCTCCATTTGAAAGTTAAACATCAAAGTGGGGATGGGGAGCCCAAAACCACTGAAGTGTTCGGGACTGGGTCCTCTCAATACTGAAAGTCCTTTCACAACTTGCTATTTTTAAACTGCTTACTGAACACTGCACTCACTGCTCAGCCCCATCTGTTGGAAGTGATGGGGAACGTATTCACTGTGCTTCAGGAAGCAAAAATCAAACATATTTAACTGCTAAATTATAGTGGTGAAGCTGGGATATGAAGAGGGAAAAAAACCCCCAAGAAAAAAGCGAGGCCATATGAAGTTAAGGAAGGATTCATAACATATGAATGATGGCCAATTAAAGTGGGGGGGCTGAGGTAAAGGGACAAAATATTGCAGCATGACAACACAGAGAAAGATAATGCAAGTAGCATATTGCAGATTTCCCTCACTAATTAATCTTGGGAGAAACAGGAATAAGCTTCCACCACAGCTTCAGTACATGTGAGCTATGACACACTGCATATTACTCTCAGTTACCAGTAAATAGAAATAACAAAGCCACTTTATGTTACAGCAAGTTATGAGGAAAAAAAATATTAATTCAGGTCGTGAGGTAGTTGCCCTCTAAGCTGACAGATTCCAGCAAAAGAGTAAAGGACAAGGCCCCTCTGCCAAGCAGAGCATAAACATTACATGAGTTTGGGGGGAAAAAAAAAGGTCCCTGCAGTAAATCCAAGAACCAGACAAGAACTGAGGGAATGCCATATTTTCTCAGAGCAGAGGAAAATGACATAATAAATTCCTCATTTTTATATGATGGAAACTCAAAGTACTTTGACAAGAAATGTGGTCAGTTGTATGAAGATTCTGAAAAAAATCACATGAAAAATAAGCCACCCTCTGCTGCCCCCTTGGAACACATATTTTTATTTTAAATTATATTAGTATTACCAAAAGTCTATAAAAATTTGGAAACATCTTCACATTGCTCCAGCAGAAGTTGTGAGCTCCTTCATCCCATTGTTATTCTAAGCATACATTTGCTTTAGTGCAGGGAATGAACTTAATGCTTTGGTAATGTTTTAAAACTGTAAAGACTTACAATTTCTCAAGAGTTGCTTTACATGATAGATGAGCATCTTACAGTCACAGGAATCTCTAAAGCTCCCCATTTCCATGTAAACAAATGTACAGAGAGGTTATGCCATCTGTGGATGGCAATCCATTCCATTCCCAATCCATCACCTGCAGAGGCTGCAAAGGAGTCAGGCTGTTCTGACAGGGCCCAATTCATAATATCAGTTAGAAAACCTTAATGCAGCCACTTCACGAGGTGGTGAGAATGCACCTTGGAAAGTGCTTTCTATCCTCAAATTGCACTGAAATATTAGGTTGTAGGATAAGGCCATAAGTCAGAAATATCTATGGAGGTGTGACCACTTTAGAGAGAAGAGTCCACATGTATCAGCTTGTATGAAGCACTGGGATGTCTGACTGCAGCCCCCTGCACATGAGCCTTTCCTATCAAAATTGGAACTCAAAATTGCCTTTTACTCTTTTAAATACTTAGTGAGACACCAGAATCGAATAAGAAAATAGTCTGACATTATCACTGTGATTTTTTGTAAGCTTCTAGGGATAATTTGAAGGGGGGGAAACTGACTTTTATCTTATTTGACAACTAAAAATATTTCTGAATAAACTACAAACTATTAGCAGATATTTTTTTCTTCTGTGATAAACACTTTATTGAATTCAATCATGAATTATGCTCATACTCACTAACCACAGTAAAGCCACAGATGTTTGTTGTTTTGGTGAAATTTTGTTGTGTGGGAATCCTAAAGTGATTTTTGGGATGTTCCCTTTAAAACAGAACACCTAGAAATTTTTCCTTAGCTCAGAATATTACTACTTACATTGATCATATAGTTGCACTGTTATTTCCCCCAAGCAAGCATGTTAATTCTAGGTTGAATAGATTACTTTTGTTTAGTTTAAATCCCTCCTCAGATGAAGGAAGTTAAAACACATCTATGTTAGAATAGCAATGTTTAGGAGAGGAAGAGTAACATCATCGATATTATTTAACAACTATGTTAAGTAATGGTCTGTGGTTACAACTGAAACTGTTTCAGGCATTCATCTTGACATCTATGACAAATGAGGCTGAAACACGTTGTCAGCCTCTCCTTAGTACTGTGCTGGTCCATCATTAAAATATCACAATGTGCAAACTGGAGGGTACAGAAAGAGAAACCAAGATGATGCACTTGCTTACACAATAAGTTGCAACTACTGGAATATGCTGCATTAAGTTTAATATTCCTTACTTCGTCTTAAACACCCAAAGAGCAGCTAAATACAATTAAAAATACCCTTGCTATGGTCAAAACTGAACCCAGTCTCAGTACCAAGGTCAGGTCCTGAGCAAATTTAACTAAGTTTTGGCATCTTGTTTTTCCTGTAATTTGATGTAGGGCCATATATGATTTCCTGTGAAACCACAAACTACATCCTTTGTTTCCTTTGCAATTATGTTTCCAGAAAAGTTGAATGTTGCTGAGTTATTCTGAGATTCTCTGCAAGGAGGACGAGCACAGTTATTTGGCCCATGGTTGTTGAGAAGATAATGGAGATACTCACAGTGCCAGAGCTGAAATCTCATGTTCAGCCCTGCAAAAGGCCTGATGGGATTAGAAGGTGACACTGTAGGCTCCCATGGAACAGCTCAAAATGTAAATATTTCTTAACCTTGAAGCTACAGTGCGGGGTGATAACAACAAACTTTCTCAGATGCTCAAGTGGCCACAATTACCTTCACCAAATCCTTCACCAGATCAAGCTTCAAATCTCTCTACTAATAGAAGGTCAAAACTTGACTTAAACTGTTTCCCTCTGCTGAGTATTTAAGAATAAATGAATTGCAGAAGTTAGAATTTAATACCATTTTTCTTAAGATTGTTCATATTTAACAAACTATTTTTAAGCTTCAAAATTATATTAATTCTTGACTTGCTTCAGAGACTTCCACCAGTTTTGCCCATCAGTTCATTCCTACATGGTGTAGGTCGAGCTCAGAGATCAGAACATAAACAGAGTCTGACTAATCAACTTTTCCCCTCCTGTGAGTGCACCTGTAACACAAAAAAATCTTCCCTGGGTGCATCAGTCCTTCGTGTAGTAGAATCTCTAAGAAAATAACCTTTTCTAGAAAGGAAGAAACTGTCTTTTAAAGGGGACAAAGAACACTGCTGAATCAAAACATAACTCCACGGTTTTCTATAAATGAAATTATAATTATATAAGATTATATACACATTTAATCAAAGTCACTTTGATAAGTCAACTTTTCTAATTAAAACCAGTATTAGAATTCCAATTTTGAGGACAGATTAGAAATATCAGAAATGTGAAGTAGTGTCAGAGGTAACAACCATAAATTAACTGTCAAATAGTATTAAGACACTGACTTATCTATAATGAGCACTGCTTAAAAACATTAATGCATCTTTATGAACTTTTACCAATTTAAAGTTACTTTCACTTTAAGAGTTAACATCACTAGACTCCCTTTATGGAAAAGGCATTATGTACAACTAAGAAAATCACTTCTTACTAGTATGACTGTATAGAAATTTCTATAAGAACTCCACCATCCTGTCTTTGCCTACTTGTTCAGACCTGCTGTATGTACAACAGAACAAAGTAAAAACACCAAACTCTAACAGAAAATTGAAATCTTTACGAATAAACAAGAATTTTTTCCCAGAAAACACTCTACACTGTAAATATATGTTTAACTCTTTCCAGTACTAAGAAGCATCCTTAATCAAACATTCCAAATTCATTAGTAGGAGTTCATTATCTTGTGTTTAAAAATATTCTTTGCTACTAAAAAAAAGAATGCTATTTTCTGCATCAATCAGTATAAGGTACATAGAAATTTTCTTTCAGAAATTGAGTTAATTGTGCTTTTAGGTGGTCTATAAAAAGTATATATCCATATCCATTACACTCAGTTTTTCAGAAGTACATATTATGTTCCTATAAAAGCATTTTGGCTTAAAAAAAAGGAGCCTCCAAACATTTATACAGTAGCAGAATCATTATATCAATATATCACAGAGTCATTACAGCTAACAGCCTATTGATATTACTCTTAAAATTCCCTATTTTCAGGAATTTATAACACAGTTGTAAAATATGTTCCTTGCTAAAACTTTATCAATAGGTTTATAATGCACCAGTAATTGTTTTCTCCAAGTTGAGCATGCAGAAAAGCATTATTTTCTGCAGTTTTATGCAACAGCTACATATAAGAAATGACAGCGTTATTAATGTATAAATATGTTTTAGTATAAAAGCAGTTTGTTCATAACTGTTCTTAAACACTCACATTAATTTTATATGGGCTGCTCAGTACAGACTGCAGTTATGAAAGGCTTTATTTCAGAACAGAAAGGAAACAAAACTAAAACAAAGGAAGGAATGTGGCTCGTGCCTCATATTGTGATTGTCTTTGCATTTTCCTCAGCAAGCTCCCACTGGCAGCTGGGTTCAAATTGTCCAAAATTCCCCGCCTTGCAACAGGACAGTGCAGCTTTTTGTGGCTGTGGCTGCTGCCCACACACTGGAGTTGCCCTGTGCACTGCCTTGGCCTTTTTTGGCAAGATGCTGAGGAAAAGCAGCTCCACCTAATCCCAGAGCCAATTCCTTCCTCACCCAAACAGCCAACTCCCATATATTCCACAGGCGACACCAGTGTGCTGGATCCTGGCTGTCGTGTTCGAGGCTGAGCTGCAGGAAAAGCCCTGGCTGCACTAAGAGAGGAAAAGGGGGGAGTGGTAAGAGCAGAACCCACACCAAAAATAAAAAGATGATTTCTCTGGCTAAAAATATTATGCAAGTTAGCTTGAAATTAGCATAGGGTAAAACCTACCTAAAAAATTACTACATTTATTGTGAACAAATGGCTCATACCCCTGACTGCACATAACATATTTAATGCACAAATTAGATATTAAAACTGTACTTTAAACCTGTTTCACCTTCCTTTTCCATTTCAGTTTCAAACTCCTTTGAACAGGAAACCAGAAGGAAGGATGACTTCTCACAACATGACATGGATCAGCTACCCAAGCAAGAACCTGGCTTTCACCTCCCCAGAAGAAATTGAAGACATCATAGCTTCTCAAAACATCATATCCAGACTCATGCACTGCTACATCGCCTTTTTTGTGCCCACAGGATTAATAGCTGGCATATGTATTTTGATTGTTCTCATAAAGAATTATGTGCAGCACAGAGTCATAGAAAACTTGGACTTGCTTCTTCTACACTTCACCATCAGCAATATTGTAATGATTTTTTTGTCATTCACTGTCATTACTAGACCCGACTATTTAACAGCAACCCACCTCACCTGTAACGTGCTGTCATTTTTTTTCAACTTCAGTTATTTCAATTCTCAGTATGTTTTCATTTTGACGCTTCTCATACTGTTACTCAAGAGATTTCCACCACGGACTGCTCTCTGCAAAGCCACCCAGAGACCCATCCTGTGTGTTGGAATTGTTCTCACATACACCTTCTGTTTGTCCCTGACTGAGGCAGTGCTGGTTGGCACTGACAACTATCACCTGGAAACAGACTGCCAGTTAGATCCATTGTTTGCATGGCCTGAATACGAGATCATTAAATTCACATTTGGGTTTGGAATCCCACTGTTCCTTCAGATACTCTGTTTTACTGTTCTCTTGGCTAAAGCAGCACCTGCTGAAGCTCCAGCCTTACAACAGCACATCCGTACTTACCCTGCCGTGTATGTGATCAGCGTAACAATGTTTATGTGCCGCCTGTTTTATAACCTCATGCTTCTCTTCAGGACAACACTGAAATTCCAGAAGAGCACTGGAACCACGAAGAACGAGCTTATGATGAATATTGCAGAAATAGTGTTGTTCTGCGAGAGCTGTGCTAGTTTGGTGTTTATACTTAGTTTTCATAAGCCATGCAAGGATGAAATACTCAAAGTCATACAGAACTGCAGAAGAAAAACCACTGCCAACAATCACCATGAAATACCAGAAACAAACATGCCTCATGAAAGAGGGTCTCAGTAATAATGTTCTGAACAGCTGTCAATCCACTTTACTTTTCAGCTTGTTTGTGGGTTTTGGTTTGGGTTTTCACTTCTTTAAAAAAGGGTGATTGTTCCTTCTTTAGAACCCAAACTTGGCCCATCTTACAGCTAGCAGTACTGGAAGAAAAAAAGATCTTTAATTCTAGTATTTATAGTGATCTTTGAGAGAACATGTAGGGTCTGGGGTTGTTTGGGGTTTTTTTTATGTATATATACACATATATATTAAAATCATCTATTTTCTGCAAGTGTTACTTCAAAGCCAAGTAGGAAGATGAGTCCTGCTGCCATAGAACTGTGCTTCTGCAATAATATCAATGCCCCAACAAAGCTACAAACAAAAACATGGCAGAAAGCAACTCTGAACAAAAGCAAAAATCCTCAGCCAAAGCATTCTCTCAGGTATGCTTCCTCTTTTGACTTCTTACCCTACAAACTATTTTTATAACACTGGTTAAATCCCAGTAGCAGCAGCAGTGAAGTTTTTGTATGACTTCTTGTCCCCCCCCAAAAAAAAAAAATTCAAATTAATGGAAACGCTGGTCCATAAAGAAAAGCTTTGGGTCCTTTGTGAGGCATTGAACTGGAAAGATCAACAGGATGGCTAATTAAAACTTTGTGCAAGAATGAAAGCTTTTTGTTAATGTCCTCTCAGCTTCCACTTTTCATTTAGACTTAGGGCAATTATTGATTTAAGCCATTCCTGGTGAGTTCATTCAGGAGTATGAAGTCGCATGCATTGGAAGAGTCACATTCAACAATATACTAAATAAAAACCAGAGAAATACCAGTCTAGAACAGTGTAACTGAGGTGTGTTTTTAAGAGGGCAAACAAAAGCAGAACCTTAGGTCCTAAATGAAATCAAAGCTCTACTGGAAAAAAGACAGAAGCATTGTACATGTAGATGAGAGTTGATGGGTCAATGGTGCAAGAAGGGGAAAGAATCTGAATCAGAATTAAACAGCAGTGGTACAGGAGGTGGGATGTAGCCCTGCAGAATCAGTAGCTGATGCAGCTGAGAGGTAGGTGCAAAGCTGTGAATGCTCACTTTGAGAACATTGTTGCTGTCACCAAATCTGGCCAGGAGCCACCTTACACATTTGGCTTTGGTTTCAGCTTTTCCTCTCATAGAGGTGGAGAGAACGGAAACAGGAATAGCACAAAATTGTACTAGATCTTGGATAATGACGTCAGCTTAGATCACAAAGTTATAAAAATACGGTGCTGTGAGGCTCAAGCAACTTGAAGAGTTTTGAGAAAACTCATTTTTATGCTTAAATCCGTTCCTTCGCGTGACACTCGGGTGCTAACGGAACTGACAGGTTTTTTTGCAGTTGTATCCTTTGAAAGGTCTTCCTGATGGGGTCCAGATTTGCATGGGGAGCTGGTGCAGATCAGCATGGGCTGCCTAAGAGAGAAAAGCAGGAACCGATCGATGAAGATGAACATCTTCCACAAAACTACAGCCAAGTGCAGAAATGGAAGAATAAAGGACATTTGTTCAATAATAATACAGAATATAGATTTAGTATCTAGAGATACAGATCTAGTCTTAGTCATCCAAGTCCTGGAATGTATAGACCACGACTGTATCACACGCAAATAAAGGGCAATATGTAGTTTCACTATGTCTGCAAGGACCAACATTTCTGCAAGATGTAAAAGTCAACTGGTAAGATGTCTGCATTGCATTGTGTCAGCCTGTTTTCCTGTTCAATTTTGTTCTGCTGCCAGCATGAACAGATGGATAATTAAAAAACTCTGCATATAAACAGATCATTATAGAATGTGGTCAGAAAGGAAGTACGTAGATAAGAATCATCTCTTGGAATATAAGAGCCAAATTCATACTTGTGAAAGGATTCTCAGATGGCATCAGAGGTTTTGTTTTGCACCTGAGAAGAGGGGGATTAAACAACACGGACCAAAGATCAGCCCTGCAGAAAGACGTTTGAAGAGATGAGTTGTAAGAGCTGTACATCCATGGAAAAGCTGACAGACTGAGTGAAGGAGAATGTCAGAAGATGCAAGCTGTTTATCCCTCAGTGTCATAGTTTCAGCTGTGCCGTGGATAAGAGGTCTATTTTTTAGTATTGGAATTATGCACGAATAATTCTACTTTATTTACAGCTTCCATCTCTTTTATATTTAAGGATGAAAGAATAAATACTGTGTTGTTTCTGAGTCCTGAATTACTGTGAAAGGTGCCTAAAAGAAAACCTGGTCAGTAACTGGCTGACACCTGGAAACTGGTCTAATGGTGAGTGAATCGTGGTGACACACCTGGAAGGAGCCAGAAGGTTGAGCATGGGTGGAAGGTTGAGCATGGAGAGGAGGATGCTTCATCATACTCTCAGCAAGGTACACAGCTAGAGCAGAACCATAACCAAAGGCCTCAGAGAAATAAAACCTGTAGGGACCTACTGTCAGATCTAGGATTTGAGAACGAGTACATCCTGTCAGAATGAACTACTGTGTGTGAGTCTGTGGGTACTCCTGGGTATAGCTCCTGGCTGCCATCTGTGAGATTCGAGTTCATGTACTCTGGCCTCTTCCCTGTCCTTGACTACTGTCGTGTAAAAAATCAGAGTATTTTCTGGATGGCTGGTTATATTGACATAGAGAAATCTCTATGTACAATCAAAAGACTTTGAACTGAATATGAGAAAACAAAGGTAGACAGGAGGGAAGAGGCTGAAAAATGTAGAACAATAACTCAAATAGTTATGAATACAACTTTTTGCAATACAGAAATGTTTTCATAGAAACATTCTTGATAAAGTTACTCAGAGCTTATATTAAAATTTATGACAACGAATATACAGTCCTAGAAAAAATCTCACATTCAGTTGGAATATAAGAACAAACACCCCTATTCTAAAAGAGTTTCATATGAGGGAGAAAAGAGCAGCTTTGGCAAAGATTAAAAGTAATAATGTTTAAATAATTAATAAATCTAAGAGTATTTTTAAGAACAAAATAAAATCTCCTTGCTCTGAGAGATCTTTTTTCCCTTACGCTAGCAACAGCTTTGTTGAACTCTCACTTCTTCCAGGCTTCACCTAGATTTGAACAGTATGTTCCAGAGGAAATAGAGCATATATTTTTATAGGCAGGCTGTCAAAATTAATGCAGGGATATACTGGAAAAATTCAAAGAAGAATCTTTTACTTCTGTACTGGTAATATTTGTATCTTTCCAAAACTTTGGTCTGCATTTGAAAAAAACCCTTCAGGGGTTTGAGTAATGGACGCTGATGTCATTCAGTGGTTGAAAAAGATGAGAATTTGGAGATCAGTGTACTTGCAAAACGTCATGAACAGTATAACAGCATCTGCATTTCCCCTGGAGATAGCTTCAGTAAAGATTCTTAAACAAATCTTGTTTCTTCTGCAGATGGTTATATTACACTGCAAGCATTCCAAAATGATTTCAATTTATACTTCCTTCCACTTCCATGCAATACAGCACCTTATTTTTTTCAGCTTTAGACTCCCTGGCCCTGATCTCATTTCTCCAGGACTCGACAGCTTTATACCCAAAGCACTTCCACACTTCTGACATAATCCAACAGCTCTTGCATCCTACAGGGCTTATCCTGCTTATCCAGCTGGAGAGGCTGCCATGCAGTGCTGTGATGCACCAGACCTCTTAACGTTGTTCTCTCCCACACTCACACCTCCCACTTTCTTCCTCCTCAGCTGCCACCTTTTAGCAGCACAAAAGCAGGCACATATGTTGAAGTCTGCTAAATTACACAGAGTATCTTCTAATATACCACACATTCTGCCTCCTGGTGCTAGTAAGTACATCACAGGCAATTACATTACTGCTCCTGAAAGACTCTGGGGTGGTAGACATGTTTATTGAGATATAGACAGTGTTTTACAAGTTGACTACTACTTGTATTTAAAAATAAACTGCTAGGAGAATTCTGAATGCTGGATTATTGAAGTCTGACATAATAAAAATGCTACTGCACCAGTTGCTTTCATGCATGTTCTCAGGAACAGTCACAATAAGGTACAACAGGTGGAATTTTGAGGCTCAATACTGTCACAGCTGTGACTATGGATCATTAAAGGCACTCGCTGTTAAGTCCCATGGAATAGCTGCAACTGATAGGGAAAGAGCAAGGGTACAATGTTCAGCAGCTGCTCAAATTAGTGAGATTAAGATAGATTAATCAATGAGATTAAGATAGATTAATAGTAACAATAATTTGACTGCATAAACAAGAGCCTGACAATGCTGTCATTGTTTTAGGAAACAGGATTCCGAGGATTCACATGATCATCTCATAAAATACTTAGTGAAATAGAGAACTCAATAGTTACAACATAATAATAGAATATTCATAATACCAGATTCAGCCTCTTATGCTTCATAGTTCTACCAGCACAGAAAACAGCTTCTTCGTGGGCCTTTTGAAAGAGAATTTCCTAACAATTCTGAAAGTATGGCAAAGTGACATATTTCTTACCATGACTTCAAATAAGAAAATTAGTGCTCAGAACTATACATTTTCATAGTAAATCAGCTGATATGCAAAGCTAGAAAAGCAAGGACAGGCAGACCAGCTGACTATCAAATTCAGGCCCCCATAATTACAACCAACCAATACCCAGAAGCGAATGTTACACATTAAGTAAAGTAAAAAATCCTTCTGGCCCTTACAAGATCAGTGGAAGCTCTGAAGGACAGAACTAAGTACAGCAAAACCACATGATCAACAAACAACAATAAAGACTCTTTTTATTCTGTTCTTCTATGACACCAAATAATTAAGACCTTCAAAGCTGGTATCACAAGATTTTTCTACATTACAATTATTCCAGTCCCATAACACCATCATATTTGTACACTTCTCAAAGCAAAACACTTTAGTCTCTGTCCTCATCACCCTGTAGAAAAAACACTCCATAAAGCCATTCCACACATAGTGGAAATCTTCTGTTCAGAAAATTTATACCAGCACCAATTTGCGCAAACATTCTTTTCATCTAAATCATAATTGATTCCCAAACTATTTATGAGGACCCATCGTGCAAGAACATCTTAAAAAACTCTTTTAGTAACACTGTCAAAATCCTCTGTTCCTATGCACAGCGTGTTACAAAAAAATCAGCAAATAATATATTTGCCTCAATGAAGGCAAAGTGGTTCTACTCCCAAAGCCATTCGTTTAAAGAACTTTTGCTTCACTTTTCTACAGATGAGATCTTTTTTAATCTAAAAATATTTGACCACTGTAACTGGTGTCATACAGGCATTATAATGACATGGTAGTTGCTTACTCCACACTTCTAAAATTGCCCCATTCATCTTATTCCAGTAGGAGCAGATGCTGCATCGATGTACAGCATAACCACTCATGGCACTTGAAATTCAGGTATGAGATCAGTATAACCACAGAAAGCAACTACCACAAATAAAATATTTCTGTTTTATGAGAAAGGTTTAGCTTTCTTTCCATTCTAAGCATCCTGGCCACCAGTAGGTGGTGTTACTGGAAATGGCAAGTGGGTTTTTCCCCCCTACAGATGAAATGCAAAACTCCACCTGCAGCACTGGCGGTTTTACGCAAAACCGAGGCTCCACATTCTCTGTAAAAGAAGTATTTTATCCATGTGATTCTGAGCTGAGCAATTCCAAGAAGTAAGAGGATGACAATACATACCTGAAAATTTAAATACAAACAGGCAAAATGGGATCAGCTTGAAGGTAGGAAAACTGAAATTCATCTTGTCAGTTTAGCAAATGACCCATCTCAGCTACTTGAGGTCCCTCAATCAAATATTCCCCTTTAGATTGCCCAGAGGCTTTTAAAAAACACCATGTATAGCAGTAATTATTGCTTTATATCTATATAAAACGTGCTTCCTTAAAATTTGCAAATAAATCTTTTAACTATTGATCAAACCCTCTGAATTATTGATCAGCTGAGCTATAGGTTTGAACGGACTATATAACTTTGAAAAATGCCAGAGGCAGAAAGGAGGGTGCAACGAACGTTAGGCAAAATAAAACTGACAAATACGAGAGAAAAGATGCTTGAGTAGTTCTAGCAAAAAAGAAACCAGCAGAAACAGGGTTAATTCCAGCCTTATAAGGCTGTTCAGCAGCACTTCAACTGCACACAAATTAGAACAACCCCGGGAATCTATAAAGCTTGTTTTATTGGCAAGGACATGCAGCAAGATCTGCATTTTGCTGTTGTAAACTATCCTTTATTTAAGATGTTCTAAAGCAGGACAGACTTTTACATGATTTTCTTTTTAATGCTGAATCATCAACAGGTGGCATCCACTGCAGCTCTGCACACCTAAAGGCAAGTTTTTTACCGAGAGAACAGTGGAAGTTGGCACATCCTTTACGTGTGTACCCAGCAAGAACCAGCCTGCTGCTCTGTCTGGAGGAAAATCAGCTCTGGAGAAATGGAATTAAGGTAAAATAAAGTGTTTCACCGTACATAGTTACCTGTAATGCTTGTAATTACTTGGCTTTTGGCAGCCTTTCAGATGTAATTAAAATCTGACCACAGACCGACCTTTTAAAATAAATTTCTTAGGCTGCTAACATCTTTTATTGTGTTTAAAGCAGTTTTACTGCCTTGTTCGCAAATAAAAGGACCTTACGTAAAGGACAACAGTTTATGTTTGACTTCCACAGCTGCTGAAACAAACAGCGAACCTTCTTCTAATAAGTGTAATTTCCTATGGATATTTTAGCATAAAGATTTACACTACTAAAACGATTCAAAACACAGCAACAGGTACTGGGAACTTATGCCTGTTTCACTGAGAAATAAAAGCTCTGGAACCCATATCTTTATTTCAGTATCTGTAGCTACTTCTGGTGATTTGAATACATTTAAGCAAACTCAGAGCTATATTTCTGACTAAAAATATTCTAACGCTCCTACTCCATTAGTGGTCTGCTCCTTTTTCTCCCCCAGACTGTACCTCGGCAGGATTTAAGTCATTAATATGTGGAAATATGCACGAATTTTACTAGCAAACAATTTTTTTTACTATGTTTTAGTATAAATAAAATCAAGGGGTTGATAGGAAGATGAAGATTAAAGCAGTTCAAAATATTTAAAACTTAACACAAAATACCCTGGTTTATAATTTTCTTGCTGTTTTATTTGTTTGGGGTGTCTTTTGTTTGGTTGTTTTTTCCTTTAAATAAACTTCTAGCAATGCTTCAAGTCCATAACATTCAACATTTATGAGTAAACAAATCCGATAACTGGTATTTTCCATTCCTACCCGGAAGTCAGTGAAACATAATAAATCACAACAAAAAGCAAATTGAGTATAATAATGCTGGTGTAAATCAATACGCTGCTTGTATTACCTTCATTTCTAAAATTTGCCTTTTCTTCCCACTGAAAGCAGCAGGAACCAACTGCTTTTCATCTCTGTTGCTTTCTCAGCCACAGACTTTGCTATTTAATAGCCTTACAAGCTGATAAAATAAATACCTATGTAAAAAACACCATTTTTCTTTATTAGGCTAAACTCACTCATCTGATTTCTCTGTATTTCTGCATTTTCTAATGCTGAACCCCTGAAGGGTACACACCATTTTAACAGATCTGCCCTCACAACATATTATCATCCAGAAAAAATTTAAATTCTTTTAACTGAACCTTTGCATATATATTAAAACATGACGTTTTCTACAATCTCAGCTATGATGTTAAGTTAGAAGAAGCACATAGCACATGGTACAGTGCTGGAATACGAGATTAATTGTTTTCCATTTGCAAATTGCAGGTCCAAGGATGTTCATTGATTATTAAAAGAAAACAAATGGAGCTAAAATTCTACTGCCTTCCAGCTTGCATGAAGAAACACTGTTGATGAAAAGCTTTTATTAAACAGACACAAGTACCATCATGGTAAAAAGATTCCTACATGATCTTAAGGCACACAAGAACTGTAAATTCTCACATTTACAATGTATATAGTGTCCTGTAAAACAAATTAAGACATTTACTATTTGTAGTGTTATATTTGGGTCAGTTTTAAGTCTAATTAATGTGACTTCTAAAGAATTTAAATTTTCTATACAAAATTCTGCATCTTTTTCAACTCCAATCAAAAATGCTTACTAGAAGTTTAGTTGAAGACAACCAAAAATCTGATTTTTTGGTACTGACACCAAACTGTGATTGCTAATACCTTTTCTACAGATATTTTAACCATGGAAACTTATTCTGCCTCAATATCACCTGTTATATGTAACAGCACAACTTTTAACCTGAATGGATCCCATTTGTGTAACGAAAGCATATCCTCTAGATTAGCAGATAAATCAGAACACCAACAATACGTTATTGGTCTTTTCTTATCATGTCTTTACACAATATTTCTCTTTCCTATCGGTTTCGTAGGAAACATTCTGATACTGGTTGTCAACATAAGCTTTCGGGAAAAAATGACTATCCCAGACCTTTACTTCATAAACCTCGCAGTGGCCGATCTCATTTTAGTTGCTGATTCTCTCATTGAGGTGTTTAATCTTGATGAAAAGTATTATGATATCACTATCATTTGCACCTTTATGTCTTTGTTCCTTCAGATCAACATGTATAGCAGCATTTTCTTTCTGACATGGATGAGTTTTGACAGATACCTAGCCCTGGCAAAAGTAATGAGGTCCAACATATTCCGCACTATGCAGCACGCTAGACTGAGCTGTGGGCTCATATGGATGGCATCCATTTCTGCAGCTCTGGTCCCATTCACAGCCGTGCATTTACAACACACCGGAGAGGTCTATTTTTGTTTTGCAGATGTAAAAGAAATCCAGTGGTTAGAAATAACCTTGGGGTTTATTATCCCCTTTGTGATCATCGGTCTCTGTTACTCGTTAATTGTGCGAGTTCTTATAAAAGCCCACAAGCACAGGAGTCTTCGTCTGCGGCGGCAAAAGGCTCTTCGCATGATTTTTGTTGTGGTCTTGGTTTTCTTTATCTGCTGGTTACCTGAAAACGTCTTCATTAGCGTCCAACTTCTCCAGAAGAAAAACGAGCCCGTCTCTTCAAACAGCCCATCCTTCAGACACGATTATCCTTTAACAGGACACATTGTGAACCTGGCAGCTTTTTCTAACAGCTGTTTGAACCCCTTAATTTACAGTTTTCTGGGGGAAACCTTCAGAGACAAACTGCGACTGTACATTGAACAGAAAACAAAAATGTCAACATTACATCGCTTCTGTCAGGCTGCCCTGACGTCTGTCATCCCTGACAGTAACGAGCAATCAGAAGTCTGACTTAGTAGTCGTTGTATAAAACATATGACTGTGAAGTTGTGCAAATAGAGAACAAAATGCTTGCTAGTAACAGAAAAAAGTGCATTTGTGAATATATATATATAGTGTATCGCTCTACTGAGTATTGAAAGTTTATATTCAAAATGTTTTTATGACAAGACTTTGATGTAGAAGAATATGTTTTAGCCAGATTTATATTTAATTAAGAACAGGATTATTAAAAGCTGAGCACTGAAGAAGCTTTATTTTGTATTATACATGTATGAATGACAATAGAGGAGAAAATTTTATCAAGTTAGGAAGACTCTAGATGTAATCTGATTATCAGAGATTCTATTTTCCTGGTGTATATAACTTCCACTGAAATAATGAAGCTGCCCTAACAGTGGGGAAAAATCATTACAACATATTGACGTGGAGATGCAGAAAACATTGATTTTTTTCCATCCAAACATGTTAAGATAAATGACTTTGCTTAGAAGAACTAAATACTACTATTGTCACTGTACCTGAGCATGTCTTCCATGATTAAGTTTTTTTTTAATCATAATATAATCAAGCACAGTGGTGAGTTTTCGTCTCCTAAATGTAGACTGCTGTTTACATGTTTACTTGATCAAAACCAAAATCATCTGTAACTATATTGCTCATCTCAAAGAACTTCACATAAGCAAAATGTAGTGCTTCATTCTGTCTTTTAGGGCTGACCCCAACCATCTCTCCCAGGACAGACATAATTGGGCCTTGTGTTAAAAATGCCAGTGCACATACACATACATTCACATCTGCCTTCAGAACTGAATGCATGTTTCACGAGATCTCTTTACATTCAAAAGGTCTATTTTGATTGCCAGAACAAAATGCTGTGATTTTTACAGAGGTGTCGCTGCAAAAGGGTGTAAATAGTGCTTATGAAAACAACAGAAGCCTCTATTTTTAGAAAGGAAAAACTTACGTAATGGGGAGTGTGATTGGCAATTATCAGATTTGCACCTTGTGCACTGTCCATCCCACCTCCAGAGAACACTGGCCTTTCAAGGTTTTAAGATGTATGTAGGTTGCTTTGCTCATTTGAAGATTAATTATATTAAGCGAACAAATTATAGTACCACTTACTGGAAAACAATAGTGTCTCTTTTCTTCTAGAAAATAATTGGGTTTTAAATCTGATTGATGTTTAGCACAAGTTACTGCTGAACTTGTTCAGAGGAAGCTATAAAGTTCCTAGAGATTAGTGTGCAAGATCATTAAAACATCACTTGCTGCACCTCTGAGGTGAACAAACCCATTTCACCTCTGTGCTTATTGACTGAAGCACCAGAACTCTGCAGAATAAGATGCTTTGTCCTATTTTTAAATGTCATACATGAATTAATTAGCACAATAACAGATTTTAAAGCATTTTTAAACGTAGATCCTTAAAACAATGACTGAAGCTAATAAAGCAATAAAGAAAACAGTGAAAACAACGATTCCACTCATATTTCTCATGAAATATCTCGAGCTTCCTAGTGGAAGTTTTGGCCACAAAAGACTTGACCTGTAAACAGAAAGGCCACAAGACGATGATGGCTGAATTTGAAATAGATATCTAGATATTCCTGCAGCTCAAACAGGAACTGCAGGGTGGGGCCGAGGCAACTGCGGGTTAAGGAACAATGTCATTTTAGTCACATCTTCCCCGTAGAACACCAAATATATCTTCTCTCAAGAGAGATGCAAGCATAGCATGAGTTGCTAAACAACAGTTAACAAGACATCCCACACCACTGGGCTGCATCACACGTAGCCCTTTTTCTTCATTATTTTCACTTTTGGAATTAGCCACAGTTACTCATGTCCCGTGGACTGTCAATGGGCATCATCACACCTTCAAAGACAACTATTTCAGACAACCCCAAGCTGAAGGAATGGATAAGTATCTTGGCAATGCAATTCCGTGAATTGAGATACATCTTGAGTTTACAGACAGATTAGGTTTGTGTAATCTTGACACTTGGCATGAACAAATAACTTACTTGGGGTTATAGGAATGTACTTTCCCAATTGTAGTTGTTGCTTACTTAGGTTTTATAGGAATAAGTTCCTTTCCCCTCCTCCTTCCTTCCAATACAGGGATCAGGTTTTTGATCAAGGCTATGGTAGAAGCCCTTTCACTACCACTGCAGAACACAAGTCAAGAAAGTCTTTGTGCAGAAGCTTATGATAATAAACAAACAGCAATAGCAAATGCCTGCTCATACATGCTATGAAGTAGTTTGTTTCTAAATGATCATTTTCAGTAATACACAGTGAAATCTAGGAAAGATCAGATTACTATATTATGAAGAAAATATTTACTCAACTCGAAACAACCTATTGCACGTTTAAAACCAAATTCACAAATCTAAAATACCTGTTGAGTTCCCTACTGTTCATATTTTGGTACAGGCTTATGAACTGTGCCTGAAATTACTAAATTTAAACACACTACTTACTTTAAATGCAAAGTGCTCTCCCAGCTGAAAAAGCAGCACACTTATTTCCAAAGCTTTTTTTTTTTAACAGTAACTCTGTACAAAGTAATATTTGTAGAAACACCATAAAACTTCCATGTATTTATATACACAACATGCCTTCTGCAGCCCATCATCTTGCAATAACTCGTTACTATGGCTTATCCATGAACCAAATAGTTCTGTGCTAAATGTGTCGTTTTCTTTAATTTTGAAGAGCATAATCATCAGTAAACAAAAACTTTCCTAGAGTGTAGAGGAAAGGGGGACAAGAATTTTGATACAACTTCTTCACTTTTTTTCTCTGGTCTCTCACAAATTGTTCAGTTGTTTAATTTAAGGAAAGAATTCCATATGCCTTTCTAAAATGCTGGATTGATGACAACTATGAGACTTAAAAACCTGTTTATCACAGATGCTTACAATCTTTGCTATAATACTCTGTATCAAGTCTCCAGACAAGAAAAGTCTAGAATTATGAAAAGCTCACAGAAAAGAGGGGCGGGAGAATAATCAAAGAACGCCTGAAACCATTAACTGCTTTTGAAAATACCTTAACACAAGAATATCTTGAATGCAGAGTATAATTGAATATCTAGAAACAAAATAAATGCAAACAGCACAAACAAGCACTAATCTGGACCTGATGCAACCGAAAGCAACAGTCTTCCCTCAGCTGTGTAAAAAGATACAAGAAAAATATTTATCTGAGACCATTTTAACATGTTAAAGAGATGCTGCAACTTTACATACTTTTAAGTTTTAGGAGATACACTAAATACCAACTGTGCAGGCACAACATCCACATCTAGAAAATGCAAAGTCAGTCAGTCTAAAGATAAAGCTTGATTCATTTATGAAAAGCATTACATGATGGGAGGACATGTGACAGGGAATTGAATCAATGAGTCAGGTGATCCCAGATTCTGAGCAAGACTGACATAATACGGACAAGATGTAAGAAAAGTCACCTCTCCCTCTGCAAGCTTAAAAAAAAAATTGAACACAAAATTTTACAAGAAAATGCTTGTAAAATTTCAGACTAAGTATCTGTGTTTCAAACAAAATTCACTGGCTGTACAGTGCAGGCTCTAATCTTTTTTCCAGCCATCAAGTTATGTTAGAGTATAACTGAATTTTTTCCCGTGTAAGGATTTTGCTGTGTTCTCTCATCTGTTTATTAAGATTGCAAAAGGGAAAAGGTTGTCTGGACAATTTTAAATGGTAAGGATTGTCACATAAAAAATGTGCTAAAGAGTGGTTTACCATAAGTAAAAGCATGTCAAGTTCAACCCTGATTATCATTAATTCCATTTGAACTTGTTTCTGCATAAGTAAAAAACAAGTGACTGCATGAAGAATCAGGTTTGAATTTTAATAGCTATCCATGAAGGTGAACCAATGAATTAATTTGATTTTGATTGAAAACAACAGAGATAAGGGGTTTTGCTTTTCATTTAAGGGACAGCAATGCCTTCTCAGGACTGCAGACATTGCAGGATTAGCTCCACTTTCAACTCAGTCTCCTACATCCTACTTCATTTATTTTACATATGCCCACTAAATTCCACTACAAAATCTAAAGATGGTTGTCTGAGTCTCACAAAAATCACCTGCGTGTTTAGAATGGCCTTTGAAATTCTTCAGTCCCTGTGATAAAACCATATTCAAGTTTCCAGTCCATTGTTCCAACAGTCTGCTGCAGGTATATACAGAAGTTTCAAAGCTCTAAATTAACAAACTACTGAACTGTTCATTACCAAAAAGTAACACCCACCTTCTGTAAATAAACATTTAATGTACCAGGGTAAGCCTTTCCAAAGCAGCAGCTTTGCTTACAAGTTCCAGCTCACTTGACCTGCAAGCAAAACCACTGAAAAGGTTTATTTAAGACCTTTTCAAATTGCATTGAATGTGTTTTCTGGAAGGACTTTTAAAAAACTATGGGGGAAAAAAACACATAGTAGAGAAACAGGAAAATTATTAGGATATTGTTAAATTATCCTTAGAAATTGGAGTTAAGGCGATTTTTACAGAAGGAGCTCAGTGTTAGAATTGCCTAATAGTGCTGGAGATAGATTTATTTTCTGCCTCAGCAGGAGAAATATTTCCTTTCCCAGGCATTCTCTCAATAGAAACGGTAATATAATGGCAAATAAGATTTTCTTCCTTTCATTCTCTCTCCATTCAGAACTACAAAAGAGAAATAGCCTGTACCCGGCTACAGAAACCTTTTAACTCTTGTGCTCCAGAGGGAAGTGCACACAGCAAACTGAGAAAGAAACCAAGGAAAGAACTCACCTAAACAAAGTGATAATAATCCAAACTTCCACCTGACAACTGAGTATCAAGATGGGAAGAAGATACAGACAGTGATGTGTGGGAGAGCTTACTTTATAAACTTGCTTGGCTTTTAAATACAAAAAGTCAGAATTACTTCTGATATTGCAAGCTAATTCTCTAGAACAGTGAGAAACATGACATCTGTGCTAATTAAAGATGCCTGATGATGTGTGACACTGTTGAAGTGTCGTGGGATCAGAAGCACAAACTTGCTGGCAGAGCTGCTACTAAAGTTCACATCGGATCACATAGAACCTGCTGCATCCTGAGCCCATAACACAGGGCCCATGAGGACCCATGGAAAACTGTCCCTGTCCCTTGCTAGATTTGTGCTCTTCTTGACTCCCACTGATAACAAGTGAGACCTTTCTGATCTTGGTCAGAGATTTTATTACAAGACCTATCGGATCAGGACAGTTGGCTGCTCCTATTCTAAGCCCAAACCAGACCATGACTTAATCTAGACAAATCTTTGTAAGGAAGATAACCATGTTTTAAACAAAGCATTGCAAACTTCGACCACTAAAACAAACAATTTACAAAAAAAAACCACCTCACAAGTTTATTAAAAATGCCTTTAGAAAATCATGGAGTACAGGCTTGAAAGCCATGGAATATGGGAGTTTCATAATAAAATAGGAAAAACTTGTCTATTCCAAAGGTGACTTGAAAAAAGGACCAGCCAATGAGGTACATGAAAGCTCCAAAGTCCATGACCAATTTCAGTGACCTTTGTATTACAGTTCAGTGTCACAGTTCTGTAACCACTGAGTTATTTTACACATGGGTAAATATGAATAACTCTCATTTAGGATGCAGTACATAATGTAAAGGTAGGATGGAATGACAGTTACTAAAAGCGTGTATTTTCCCCACATACTTTAGATTTTCCATTCTCTTTACATAACCTCTCTGCTCCTTTTTAAGCGAGGTAGTTCTGAGCCTTCAGTACATTCCCTGAACAGCTCTGACATCTTTCAAAATGTAGGATGGTAGGAAGAGCTGTCTGCCCTTATGTATATATGCTGTTTGCAATAGCCTGGTTTACAGATGCAAATTATTAAGATAATGCTGAGAAATTTAATAAAACACTGGTTGATGATCTGTTTGATGTCCTACAGAACTCCTGTGGGATTCAATTAGAAACAGGTAAAATCACTCAAAGATAGAGTCTGGTTCCCCTGTCAAATACCTTCATGCTTGTACCCTCGATATTTCAGGCAGCTTCTAAAAGTCAAAAGATTAATTTTCTGTTCTAATTACTTGTTGGATGTAACAGACAAGCACTTTCCAAGTATTTATTAATCTGTGTGGCTTTGATCTAATACCCAAGAGCCATTTTATCTATGCTGTAATTTATTAACATACATAAATATACACTGTTCTTTCATGTGGTTCACAATATTGCATCTAAACACGAAAGGTATTTTGAAGGAGGAAATTTCTAGTTTCTTGTTCATGCTGTGGAAGCACCCAACACCCCCCTTTTATCTGCACCAAAACATTGGGAGGTTTTAATTTCTGAATCTATTCCACTGATACAGAAAAATTCGTATTTTATAAAAATCCTTATACCAGACTCACATGTTGTTTAGAAAAGCAGTAGTGTTCCATCAAGGACAGGGAAAACAGATGCTTTTTAGAATAAACATTTTAAATATCCAAATCTGTGCCATTTTTT